GGGCGGCCAGGTGGGCGCAGGCAGACGGCCGGGTGGGCGCAGGGGCCCTAGGGCCAAGTGGGCGCAGGTGGGCGGCTGGGTGGGCGCAGGGGCCCTAGAGCCAAGTGGGCGCAAGCGGGCAGCTGGGTGGGCGCAGGGGCCCTCGGGCCGGGTGAGCCAGGCGGGCGGCCAGGTGGGTGCAGGTGGGCAGCCAAGTGGGCGCAGGCGGGCGGCCAGGTGGGCGCAGGGGCCCTAGGGCCAAGTGGGCGCAAGCAGGCAGCTGGGTGGGCGCAGGGGCCCTCGGGCCGGGTGGGCGCAGGTGGGCAGCCGGGTGGGTGCAAGGGCCCTTGGGCCAGGTGAGCCAGGCGGGCATTCCAGTCACCAGCCTGCACCCCCTGAGCAGACTGAGTCAAGCGTGTCCCCAGGGACGTGTGCCACAGGAGAGCACCGCACCAAGTGCTCCCGGGGCTGTGGTGACCCCTGCGTCCTGCAGTCCAGAACATAAGCCCTGACAGTGCACTGTGGATGGGCGTTTCTTGCGTTTAGGAAGCCTGGGGTCGGACAGCGTCGTCTTAGTTCGGGGAGGGTGCCCGTGTGAGTCAGGCTGCGTTCAGTTTTGCAGGCGGTTGTCGGGGCTTGTTTTCAGTGGTGGTGGATCTGCAGGTAGCAAAACCCTCGCCATTTCATCGTTGCGCACACGTGCCGTTCCCCGCCGGGGGTTGGTGGTGCCTCTGCGTTCGTTCCTTTGTCTCCTGCCCCCCACGGGGCCCTGGCCCTGGTCTCTGGGCCTGGTGTTCTCGTTCATCTTCTAACTAAAGAGCAAAATAGAACCACCTTCACGGCACTTTCTAAGTCCTGGGCTCGCTGCATCCGGCAGGACAGGGTCCCAGCCCGCAAGGAGCCCCAGTCCTGGCACAGACCGTAATGGGGGGAGCGTGGCCACTGGGACGTTGGGGGCATGGGGTGGAAGCAGGTGAGGAGGAGCAACAGGAGGAAGCCGGGTTCCTGGAGGTACGTGGCCAAGGAAGACAGGGAGGTGGTATGGCTGGGGCACGCACACCGGGAGCCTGGAGCCGTGAGGCTGCTTCCGCTGGCCCGGGGAGAACCTGAGAGGCCGGACCCTGGAGGGCCCTCTGCTACCCTGCCCCCTTGTGCCCGGGTGGGGAAGCCCAGAGGACGCCCTTGACCTCACTCACAGGCTGGGTGCTGAGAAAGTCTAGAGGATTCTGTACTGCTCACTTTGCACCAGCCTCTAAGGTCTCGGTCCACTTTACCAAAAGCAAACCTGGCCCTCACTGACGACGCATTGGGGGTCCACATGACACGAGAAGGAAGGCAAGGAAGCCTGTCAGCGCCCCGCCCCCCTGCACAGAACAGCGGGGAACGTGTGTACCCCCATGTTGAAGTAAAGTAAGGTCGTGGGTGTGCCGCAGTCTGATGGCTCCGCACTTTCAATGACGTGACGTGACGACGGGTCGCACCCAGGTGCAGGGTCCCGACACTGTGCCCCCAGCGCCCACGCAAGCTGAGGGAGGGGTCTCTTACACCCCGAGGCCCTGTGTCTGCTGCTCCTGGACGGGCCACTGGCCGCCTGGGCTGTTGCTGCTCTGATCAGGACCCAGTTGGCAGGGGGCAATGGCCTGCCCAGCTCAGGAAGGTCACAGAAAACCCACTGAGACCATTGGACGCTCAGGCACTTGGCTCTGCTGACTCATCTTACAAATTAAGGAAATGGATACCTTTTAATGCCGGCTTAGGTTTGTGCTAAAGAAATAGTAGACTTTGAAAAGTAGGAGACGCATTCTTTTAAGAAATACAGCCTACATGTTTTGAACAGTGAATGATTTAATGATGGGGTTCGTATTACTAACACATTTTGGAGGAGGATTCCATATCATTAAATGTAATAAAAGGTGCTGTCGTGTGTGTGGGGCGGCCCTGCCGGTCGGGACGCAGGAGCCCACTGGGACCACCGGTGCCAAGTCTTTGTCCCACAGCTTGCTGCTGTAGAAGACAGGGTCCCCTGCAGGGGGCTCCGACCCCCAGCCTCAGACCCCAGGGACTGCCTCAGTGTTGGGCCCACCAGGAGGGAGCGCACCTGTCTTTCCTCCCTCCCTCCCTCTCTCTTTTTTTTTTTTTTTGGTTGGTGTTATAAATAAACAGTAAAACCTGTGTAAGGCAGAAACCTGGCAGAGAAGGAGAACTCAAATATTGTCCATTAATAGAGAGCGATAGAAAAGTGGTAAGGCTGCACCCTGTCAAAGGTGGAGAACTTGGGAGACCTGGAAGAACAAGGCAGTCCCGTCAGGTTCTGGCTCCCGCAGGTTTCACCGTGTACGTAACAAGCCACGAGCCTTTTCAGCATTCTTTGTGCGCGCAGTTCAGTGACGTTAGTTCGGTTGCCCGGTCTCTCGAAGGGACGTTTCTCACGCATCTCTGTGTGCGGGTGCTGCCGGCCTGAGCCCTCGCTGGAGCCCTGTGGCGCGTCGTTGTCTCCACGTTACTGAAACGAGAACATGGAGAGGACGGGATCTGTCACCGCCGGGTTAGTGGGCGGGGTGTTGGAATTAGTCCTGGGCCCACCTGACTCTCCTTGGCTCCCCCAGAGCACGAAATGGGGAGCTCAGAGGGTAAGTGGGTCACTGCAGCCCCTGCCCCACAGGCGAGGGGCCTGGGCTGGCCCACGGTTAGGCGAGGCTCACCTCCATCCCCAGCCAGGTGCGGGGCTCGCCGGCTACAGGCGGGGGGACCCACGAGGTTTCAGATGTGGCCGTTTGTCTCTGCAGGGTCCACTGCCAGCTGGTTCGGCTCTTTGCACGGGGGATTGAAGAGAACCCGCAGCAAGCCTTGCAAGGCTGAGACGCCCGACGCCCCGTCCACGTCCCTGCCGAACCAGGGCAAGTGTGGGAGTGACAAGAAAACGGACGGGCCGACTGGCGATACACGCATTGAACGTTAGACGCTTATTTTTGAGAGTGAAATCTTGATTTTGGGGAAGTGCCTGCGGTCAACAGTGTCACCTGCATGTTCGCCATCTTGAGTTCCTGGTGAATCTTTAGGTTGGGTTTCACATGACTTAGCAGCAGATGCAGGGGTGTTGCTCCGTAGATCTCAACAACGCCAGCCGCGCAGATTTTGAAGCGGCCCTCCTGCCATAACCTTACGGACATGATAATAGGGGTGCGTTCCACTGAGGCCACCCCACCCGGGCACAAGGCAGCCAGCACGCCACTCGGGTCAGGCGCAAGACTTGTCCTGTAGTTGTTCGCGGTGGCGTTCTGGAAGGTGGTCGACTCTCCACCTGCCTTTGATCGTCACCTTAGCTTCTGACTGCGGTCTGACCACGTGGTCCTCCCTGCGCCCTGCAGGTGCCCTGCAGCCGGGCCTGCTGGAGGTGCTCACGAAGCGTTATGCCTTTCAGTGGTCACAGAGGCACCAGCAGTCACAGTACGTCATCTTTAAAACCTCAGCCCTTGCTTTCAACCCAGTCTTGCTTCTGAGACAATTCAGCCGGGGGCAGGAGCCCCGAGGCTCGCTCTGTAAACAGGTGCCAGGAGCCGGGGCTCCCTAAACCGGGGACTCGGCCCCGGGGGCCAGTTGTTGCCGTCATCGTGTAGGACGCCGATGCTTCATGTTGACACAGAGTAGATAAGAACTGGGCTTTGGGAGGAAACAGGAAAAGCTGGCATTCCAGAGGTAAAAAACACACCTTGTGAATTCTTCCTGAACTCGAGAATCGAGCGCACCGCCCCAGGGCCGGGCACACGTTCCAGCGCGTGGGGTCCGTGGGGCGGGCTCCGAGCCCCCGCGCACAGTCCGGACCTGGGTTTTTCCTGTCTTCACACTTATTCCCGTGTATTTATTGACCGTTCGTCCTTTTCAACCAGAGCGCTGTCAGTGGCGTCTTCGTTGTCTGTGTTTTGTTCCTGACCCGACTGATCCCCTCAGCTCCCGCTGAAGCGCGTGGGTGCAGGCTGGCTGGAGGAGACCCCGCTGAAGACATTCCTCCTGGAGCCCAGGGCCACGTCTCAGTCCTGTCTTCGTCTTGTGTTATTTTTATTGCTGCCCGTGGGCATGGCGAAGTGTCTGCAACATAATTGTATTTGAAATACAGCGAGAGGCAGCTTAAGCTCTGGTTTTTGGGGAGAGGGCTGTTACAGGAGGGCCGTCCCACAACGCTGACCGAGTGGATGTCACAGGTGACGCAGTGGGTCACTCTGACACTGAGCAGATGGCCCGTGTCCTCAGACTGCACTCATGTGGACGCGAAGGTTCCCATTGCAGCGTTGTCCCCCGGCCCGTCAGGATAAAAGGCAGCTTTCCCGCGTTGTTCATGGACCACGTGATCGGATGGCTGCAGGGAAAGCCGCCGTTTCTGGTCTGAATGCTTCGCTCCTGGTTGGAGGCCAGCAGCTTCCTGGGAGCAGGCAGTGGCCGCCTGTGTCCCCGGAGACCCGTGCAGCGCCAGCACACACAGTAGAAGACATGCAGTGCATGGCGCTCCCCGGGACCACGGGGTCAGGGACAGTGTCACTCCCAGCCAGGGGGCTGCGGGAGGAGGGTTCCCAGGGGTGCTGCGTAGCCCTGGGACCCTCAGTATTGCCCCCTTGAAATTGGGTTACTTCACAGGGTTCCCGCAGAGATTCCTCAAAGTCTTTATTGTCCCTGGCAAATTTTCCCAATGCACCATCCGCCCTAAAATCCACTGCCAATTGTAGATACAGGGCCCAGGCCAAGAGTACGCTTTTCTGCTCAACAAGATACCCCAGCCCTGCCAGGGGGCCACTTTGGAGATAGCGCTGGTGTCCCCACCAGCTGCATGCTGACATTCAAAAGGGCAAACCCAGAAACTTCTCTGGGCTCACGGTGGTGCTGCCCGAGCCCCCAGATGACCTGCACACGGGGTGGGAGGTGACCCCTCAGACAGGTTGAATCAAAGGCTCCAGCCCTCATACATCCTCACATAGCTAGAACGTCCGCAGCACCAGTCCTGCGTAGTTTCAAGCAAGAAAATGGAAGAAAAGTGACGGTTGGCACTAGAACTTAGGCTCACTTGGAAGGTTTGGTCTGTGTGTTGAACTTCCTTGCTCATTGGTGCAGAAAACCTAGGCAGCAGTCATGCCCAGGACTTCGTGACTCTCCTGGCGAGGAGTGGGGACCCTCGTAAGCTGCGCCTGCTTCGCGAGGGGCACAGATTGGACTTGTTCCTTCATGCAATCTTGTACGACAGGGAAGTGTCAGTGGGGAAAGGATTGCTTAATTTTCTTTCAAATCTTGCTGGTTTCAAGATTAGAAAATGGCACATTTGACCTGATATGTTTGAAAAGACAAAAATAAAGTTACTTTGGGCAGAATTTGGCTTTTTTCCTTTCTTTTATAAATCCTCGTTGTTTTCAAAGCAGAGTATTTTCTATGGAAACATTTACACAGGAATTAATAGTGCCCCGTCCGTCCATGCAGAGAAACCAAACTTCACCGGAAGCCCCTGCCTCCCCTCGGGGGTGACTGCCGCTGAGGAAGTCATCAGGCACTGGCGTCTTCCCGTGTTTATGTTCTCAGTCTGCTGTTTGGCCTTGCACTTTCTGTAAAAGTGATCCTACTGAGTGCCCTTTTCTGTAACACCTTTTCACAGCGTGTTTTGGGATCTGTCCACGTGGATGTGAAGAGCTGGGGGGGCCGGTCTTCGTGACTCTGCTGGGCGAGAATACCCCGGTGTACTCTGAACTGTGAAGCAGACAGATCATCCATCCTCTGGGGTCTTGGCGTTGTTTCCGGCCGGCACGATGCTAGGCGTGGGCAGTAGAGGGCGCTGGAGGGACACTGGCTCAGCGATGGGTGCCGGCAGCAGGCAGCTCACAGACAATGGATTCCAGCGAGTCTTACCATCCTCTCTGGCAGGGGCTTCTAGAGCCTTCCTCAGCGTTCTGCCTCATTCGAGGGTTGGTGGCTGCCCCCTCCATCTGTGATTCCTGTAGTCTGTGGTGTTATCTTACCCCTTAGAAGGGGGCAGGGAGCCCTGGTGGGGCAATTGGCTGCTAACTGAAAGGTTGGCGGTTCAAACCCACCCAGCGGCTTCGTGGGAGAAGGACCTGCTGATCTGCTCCTGTAAAAATTGCAGCCTAGGAAACCCTAGGGGGCAGTTCTGCTCTGTCACATGGGGTCACTGTGAGTGGATGTAGACTCAGCAGCACTCAGCAAGCAGGGGGCAGTGGTGGTTCCCTGGAATCCTCACATTCCGTGCGGGAGACCCAGGTTCGATCCCCAGCCAATGCACCTCACCCACGCACAGCCACCACCTGTCAGTGGAGGCTTGCGTGATGCTGTGATGCTGAAGAAGTTTCAGTGGGGCTTCCGAACTGTAGGAAGAAAGGCCTGGTGATCCACTTCCGAAAAATAAGCCAGTGAAAACTATGGATCACAATCGTCTGATCCCCAGCCGATCACGGGGGTGGCGCAGAACCAGGCAGCATTTCGTCCCATTGAGCACAGGCTGGCCACAAGTCGGGCTGGCTTGACAGAAGCTAACAACAGTGACCCCGTAGCCTCGCTCCCTTTACTCCTGTCCCTGTTACAGTTCATAATCCTTCACGGTAAACGTTCCCGTTCAATTTCAAGTACTGTGTAGGCTCTGCCTCCCGGCTGGACCTGATACAGGATGCTTTCAACTTTTCATCAGTTTGCTAAATTATTTTTAAAATCACATATGGATGCTGATCCATATCAAATGCGTTTTGTTCCTGTATCTATTGAGATGAATCATACTGATTTTGTTTCTTTAGTCTGTTAATGCAAATTATATGGATTTTCTAATGGCAAACTAACCTCGCATTTTCTGGAATAAACCCAGCTTGCTCATCATGTATCATCCTGTTTTATATAATGCTGAGTTTGGTTTGTTAATATTTTGTTTGGGGTTTCTGCATGTATAATTACTTGGCCTATAATTTTCCCTTCTCATACTTTTTCTTGGCAGGTTTTGGTATCAAAGTTATTCTCTCCACAGAAAATGGAGCAGTCTTTATTTAGTCTAGAATCTGGTATAGTTTGTGTTATACTAGAATCGTTTGTTTCTTGCATGATCAGTATAACTTACCAGTACAATCTTTGGGCCCAAAGTTTTCTTGGAAAGTTTTTTTTTTTTTTAATTCCTGATTCAATTTCTCTAATGATTACAGATCTGTTCACATTTTCTATTTTTTGTTGAATCATTCTGTGCTACATTTTTATAAGAATGTGTTCAGTTCATTAAAAAAAAACAAAAACCCATTGCTGTCTAGTGGATTCCGACTCATAGTTACCCTACAGGACAAGGTAGAACTGCCCCATGGGGTTTCCAAGGAGCAGCTGGTGGATTCGAACTGCTGACCTTTAGGTTAGCAGCCGTAGCTTGAGGCAGCGCTTAACCACTGTGCCACCAGGACTCCGTTTAGTTCATAGACGTTTTGAAATTTACTAGCATAAAATTATTTTTATAACCTCTTCTTAACATCTCATGTCTCCAGCTACGTCACCTTTCAGAACCCTAACACTGTGCGTTGTGTTTTCCCTCCCTCCTTCCATTGGTCTCTTCAGAACTTGGTCACTTTTATTAGTCGTTCCACAGAATGAGCTTTTGAGTCCACTGCTGTTTTGTTTTGAAGCATTGGTTTTCTAGTATTCATTGCACTACATGTATAGTATTGCTTTGCAGGATTACTGTAATTGTTCCATTCTAAACATTTTCGTGTGTGTGTGTGTGAGATTTCTTTCCTGACTCAGTAGTTTGTGTTTCTTAATTTCTAAACTTTTTTTTAATTGCTTTCAAACTTAACTGTAACGTGGTCAGGGAAAGTGGTGAGTGACAGACTCTGAAGGCTTTGGAACTCTGTTGGTACTTGCTTTACGCCCATTACGAGGTCAGTGTTTTAAAATGGTCTTGTGTACTTGAAACGAACATGTATTCTGTTGTTGTCGGGTGCAGTGCTTGATCGATCCATCATACCAAGGTTGTTGATCTCGGCATTCACCCATTCGATGTCCTCATTGATTTGGCTCGTCTATCATTTACTTCCTAAGATGATCAAATGTACTGATGGTGGATTTGTGAATTACTGTCAGTTCTGCCTTGTCTTTTTTGAGGCCGGGTCACGAGGTGCACTAGTTCAAAGCAGTCCTTTCTTGTCAGCTGGACCTTTTCTCAGAATGCCGACACCATCGCCTGCAGTAATGACTCCTTGTCCTCGAGTCTGTTTCGTCCGACGGCAGTGAGGCACCAGCCTGGGGTCCTTCCCCTCCTCTCCCTCGTGACCTCAGTGCGCAGAATTGGATTTGTCATCCTCCCTGGTCACCTTGCACACTCCTTTGTGGTCACTGTGTGGCCCTTTGGTTTTATTTATCCATTTACTCATTCATTCATTCAATTCATTAAATACTAGATTAAAAAAGAAACAAAAAACTGAACACCTATGCAGAGAACACCTGGCCCCAGACAAAGCCACCAACAGCAGCATCTCCCTCTGACCTGCAGCTCCCCTCTGTCCCCCAAGTCCCCCACCCCCACAGTGAACCCCTCCCGATCAGCAGTCAGGGTGCCAACTTCAGCCCGAGTCCTGCAGTGGTAAGAGGGCCCCACCAGGGGTTCCTGACCTCCTGGGGTCCCCACCAGGGGCTCCTGACCTCCTATGGCAGCCAGGTAAAGGCCTCAAGGCCCGTCTCAGAGTCGCGGTTTCAATGCATAAATTAAAATCTACAGGACTGCAAAGGAAACGTATTGAAATGTAGTGACCAAAATTTAAAAAAACAAAAAAAACAGCGACATGGCTGTACACGTGCTTCCGTGTCGTCTCCTGAAACAATAAAGCCCACGTAAAGCAGGCACGCGGAGGGGCAGCATTGCTCTCTGAAGCCCCGGGTCTTGAGTGGAGACCAGGCTGCTCAGGGCAATGGCGCTGGGGAAGGTGGCACCCACAGCACCGCTGGGTGTGAACACAGGCTGCCCAGAGATGCGCCTGGTGACCAATGCCGCCTCCTCCATGGCTTGGTTCAAACGGCAGCTCCTCCGTGGGTCCTGCACTGCCCTCGCCCTGGTGCTCCCCACTCTATGCCCCCCCTTTTCCTGCCAGCGTGTGGTGTTCAGAAGAAGAAGGGGGGACATGAGGAGGGGACAGTGTGTGTCCACTGTGGGTGCACGGCCCAGCAGATGGGACTGGCTGTTGGGGCTGGCTCCGTGGGGACTGGTTGCGGTGAGAGGGGCTCTCAGGGGCAAAGCCTGATGGGGGGCGTGGAAAGACCATGGGTTGCGCCCCAAACAGGAGCAAGGATTGGGTGGTAGCTGCAGGAGAGGTGGGGTGCAGAGCAGTTCATTTTGTTCAGAGATGGGAAAATTGCAGTGTTTGTATTCTCGAGAAGATCACCCAGGGCAGGGGAGATGGGGCGGCGTTCTTGAGAATGCTTGTGGCCCTCGGTGTCCCAGGGGTTGTGGTCTCTTCACTGCTGTATTGCAGCACCTAGCCCAGGACCCGGCGCCTGGGGACACCAGCGTGTACTGTGGATGGATGGAAATACAGATGGGTGGGTGGAGGACGGACGGAGGGGAGGGAGGGAGGGATGGAGGGATGGATGGATGGAGATATGGATGGATGGAGATACGGATGGATGGATGGATGGATGGGTAGAAATACAGATGGATGGAGGGAGGGATGGAGATATGGATGGATGGATGGAAAAGAATGGATGTGGATAAATGAAGATACAGATGGGTGGGTGGAGGATGGATGGAGGGGAGGGAGGGAGGGAGGGAGATACGGATGGATGGATGGATGGAGATATGGATGGATGGATGGATGGATGGGTAGAAATACAGATGGATGGAGGGAGGGATGGAGATATGGATGGATGGATGGA